CTGGTTCTCCAGCCCGGGCGCCACCGCGGCCCCCCCCCCCCCCCAGCCCGGAGGGGCACGGGCCGCGCCGCCCGTGCCCAAGCGCCCGGTCAGCGCGGAAGGAAGTGATATTTATTGTTCTCCGCGAGACCGCGTCGCCCCCGGCCCGGCCAGCAACTGCCGTGTAGACGACCCGGGAGCCCTGTCTGCAGGCGGTGTAGATACGTGTAGATATTTGTAGATACTGTAGATATCGCGCCTTCAGCGACTTGATAAACGGTTTCGCCTCTTTTGGAAGCTGCCTGCGTGTCCATTTATTTGAGAACAGCTAGGTCTCGCGGGGGATCTCAGGGACAGCGAATCCGCTGGACTCAGGGACTTGAGGGTCTGCCCAGCTCTAGTCCCCGAAGGCCGCAGGTCGGGCCTTGGGCGGAGCCGGGGGTCCCTGCAGTGCCCTTCGAGCCCCTTTCTGGAGCCCCTTCCCGGCCACGCCTCTCTCCGTCCTCTCCCCGCCCCCTCGGCGTCAGGCGGGGTCGGGTTGGCTCTTACTGCCCCCTCCCAGCGTTCCCCCGACCCTGCCCTCGCGCCCCTTTCCCGCTTGGACCCGGCAGCTTCACCCCCAGGCTGTGGGTACCAGGGCTCCGCCCAGCCCCAGGTGTGCATCCGGCCTTTTTGCTTAAACTCCTCGCCCGGGCAGTTGTCCCTCTTCTAGGACTTGGATCCACGCCCAGGTCCTGTTGTCAGGACCGGTGCCGGTTCTGTGTGCTTTTCCAGGGGAGCTGGGAATGACGGTCATGACAGAGCACTGTCACTGGGGATTGGCAAGGGAGAAGCCTGCCTCTGATGAAGGAAAGAAAAAACAGGCAGTTCTGCTCTCCTTGCATTTCCCCTGGCTGGCCCGGCCCGGCCTGCGTTTCCCCTGTTTATTGACTCTATTCACTGCGAGTGTCCCCACGGAGTGACCTGGACAGGGGGCACAATGACAGTGGTCATGAGTCATCTTGAAACCTGTCTGTGAAGCATTTTTCCCAGGCCAGGTGGTGAGGGACCTCTCCCCGTTAACTCAACACCAGGGATGGGGCCAGGGGAACCCTTTGATCCCTCCCTTCCTGCGTCCAGGCAGGAAAAGCTGACAGCCAGTCAATGTCAAGGCTGCTCACTTGGACACAAAGTGAACGGGAAATGCAAGTGGTTGGGGTTTCGTCCTAGTGTTTGTGACCATCGCTGCCACGGGCAGTGGCAGCCTGATCCCATCTCTCTGAGGGCATGGCCAGGCATTTCCTCATGTCTGCCCTGGACTGGATGCTTTCTGCCCAGATGTGTTTGCCCGGGGGGCGGGGGGGAGGGTGAAGTGACCGAGGGTTTAGAAATTGGATTGCAGAACTGGTGCCATGAAGTGGTCTAGGAAGTGACCAAAGCTGCTGAAGGGTGAGCTCTGGAGCCAGAGCCCCCGCCCCCCAAAGCCTCCAAGGGTGTGAAGACTCTTGTAGCCTCTGCTCAAGTGGCCAGCAGGCTCTGTGGACACCGCTTCAGGGATGCACTCCTAAGGAAAGCCCTGGACACCACCCTATGGACACCTGTCCAACCCTGCTCCCCAGTGCAGAGGTCCCTCTGAGGGCAGCCTGTTTGGAATTTGCACCAGAAATGCACCCACACCCTTCCTTGTCCTGGGAGGCCTGCAGGAGTGATGGGCTGTGGTTGGCCCTGCAGACCCAGTGTCCCCTGCGGGTGCTGGGCACCCCTCCAGGGCCCACTGTGAGGCCATGGGGTGAGGAGGGGGGACAGAGGGGGAGAACCTCAGTTGGAGAGATCTCCGTTTTGCTTTTTTTCAAAGCTAAAGTGGAACGAATGATGGTGCCTGGTGTTTGCAGACGGGAGGACGCAGCAGCACACATCTTCGACGTGCAGCTTCCCTCCTTGTGCATGTGACCCCCTCCCACATCATAACCACTCAACAGGGAGAGCCACACTGCTGTCCAACACGGTGGCCACTAGCCATAGGGGCCACTTACATTTTAATGAAGGAAAATAGGATAAAATTAAACATTGGGTTCCTCACGGGCTACATTCCGAGTGCTGGACACTACAAATGAGGGCTTGCCCTGCACTGAAGAAAACCCCCCCGAGGGCATGGTTTTCTCTCCTCTACCCCATGGGTGAGTCTGCCCAACTAAGAACTGTGCCCCGCCAGCACAGCCAGGTTCGGTGAGCCTGAGAGGGGGCGATGAAGGATTTAGAAAAGACAGACAAGAGAAGAAAGCTGGGGCTAGGTGGGATGTTGCCCTCTCTGATGGAGAGACAGCGCCACAGCCTGCAAGCCGAGTCTTTATTTTATAGCCAGATTCCACCAGGCAAAGTAAGGGCGTGATCAAGATGTTTACAATGTTCTCCCGGGTTTCGAATCTACTCAATTACACGCACCTGATCAAGCTTTGTTTACTTGCTGCACCTCCTGCCGCCCATATCACTCAGCCACGTGGGACCACAGGTTCGGACCATAAGGTCAAGCTTACGACCATAGCCTTTGGCTCTAATTGTGCTGGGACTTGCACGTGGCTTTGCCACGAGAGGATCGTGCCCTCTCATTAGTCCCAGGCTTGAACCTGTCCAAACGCTGTAGCCGCTCTCCACAAAGAACTTTTCATGAATAGGGTGTCTGGGCTGGCTGCTCCTGCTTCACGGTGTGTCGCCAGGCTGTCCCATGCTGCTGCTCACTTGGCAGTTCTCAGTGCTGACCAGCGTCCCGTCTCCTGTGAAGGGCACCTGGTTGTTTGAGGAGGATGCGTCAATGTTCGGCGCTGAGGGCGGGGCTGGCTCCTCCGGGCAGCCTGTGTGCAGGCCATGCATCACCTCGCCAGGTTACTGTGCTGTCACCCCGCCTTGCATCCTGGGATGGGGGTGGTGAACGAAGGGCTAATTTGGGTTACCCAGCTTCTCCCAATTTTCCAAAGGCACCAGGGCATCTCTCGGTCATTCATTCCTGAGAGGAGTGCTTGGTGACCGCCCCCAGCTGCAGGTTCGGTCTGGCCGCTGCGGTGGGGTGGACCTAACTGGGCCTCTGCCCCTGGACAGTCCTTGACTTCCTGTGAAGCGTGTGTCACAGCAGCTTCCTTTCTGTGACCATCGTCTCCTCGCTTCCATTCCCCTCACTTTGGATTCCTCTGCAAGCACACCTGGCCTGCCCTTTCTGTGACCCACTGTGCTGTGCAGGGCTTGGGGTCCTGTCCAACCTGCCCCCTCAGGGGCTCACCCCGAAGCTGTTGGATGCCTCCACACCACCTTCCTCCGGGTCCCCCACTCGGCCCAGAGGCCCCTGGCCTGTCTCCATGTGTCCAGCTGCCAGGACTTGGGAGGACAGGAGTTTGGACTAGAAAGGACCTCTGAGATCTTTGGGTCCAGGGACCCCAGACTCCTGGCCACTTGAAGCCCTTCAAGAAAACTAGACACCCCACGTGTAAAATAAGGGGGGGAGAGGTAGGCCTGTCCATACCCCTTCACTCTTGTGGGTCCCACATGAGGGACTAGGGAACCCAACACCCTGGGGTGTGGAGGGATGGCCCCCCAGTAGCCCAGCTCCTGTTCTTGGAGGAGGAAGACCAGCCGGGAGCCACTGCCTTCGGATGTGACTTAACCACTCCCGCTCCAGGAGGGCTTGGGAAACTCCGCCTGCTGGCGAGGACATCCCGACACAAACGCCTGGAGTTTTTGGGGGGACTCACCAAGTTCCAGGTGCCCTGGGGCTCATAGCCGCTGCCTCCTCGCACCTGAGTCTCACAAAAGCCAAGATGTGGGCGCTCTATGGCCCTACAGGACGCAGGGCCTTGCCCACACTCTCCTGGGTGGTTTGAAGAGGCTCTGGGCCAGCACCCTCCCTTGTACTGACATTAAGTAAAGCTGGTGACGCCCACACCTTTGTAGGAACAAAGAGAAGGCAGCGTGCCGGGCACCGTATGGCACTGCAGACGGGGCACAGGTCTCTTGGAGGGGCTGGGAAGCATTTGGGGTGCAGAGGCCATGAACTGACATTTGGCCACGGGATGAGGGGAGCCGGAAGCCTGGAGTTGCAGAGGGGTGGGTGGGGGGGCTAGTGGTTGTCGGGCTCCAGTCTCCACCCCGGGGAGCTCCAGCCCCCCTTCCCTCTGGCTGGGGAAGCCCACAGAGTGTGTGGGACCCATATGACTGTGGCTGGATGAACGTGAGGCCCTGATCGCCAGGTGTGCTGCAGATCAAAGCGCCCGCGCACCGGAGAATTCCGGGGCCACAGCTGTTGAGGGCAGAGCCAGCAGGGCCGTGTGCAGGCAGACGGAGGGGAGGTGGGGGCGAGGGGCTTCTTCTAGGACCAAAGGGATGATTCCAGGGGTGGCAGGAGTGCGGCCCAACCAGGACCTGGGTGTGAGGGAGAGCACGCACGCTGGTTCTGTGGCTCAGGGCCTCGGTTTCCCCCTGAATGCGGTGGTGCTGACCCACCCTGTGCAGGGGAGCCGGCATCTGATGCGTCTGCCCATCCTGACCCCCTGGCCGCCCTCACCCCTCGAAGCCACCTCTGTGTCCAGCCAGGGAGCAGGAAGGGAACACGGCCCTGCGGCCCGGGGTGGCACCCAGCCCTGACAGGGGAGGAGGGGATGGCCTCCTGGTCTACCTCACACGTTTTCTGTATTTTTAAAAAAATGCCCAGCCGTGCCTTTGATTCGGTTCCCTTTCCTGCTTGTCGCACTGCTTCAAACCAGATGGCTCACGAGCTGGGGCTCCGGAGCCGCGGCGTCTGTTTAACTGCCGCCAGGTCTGCGTGTGGGAGACGGCAGGACCTGGGGTATTTTGTTAAAAGCAGCGCTCGTGGGGGAGAAGCTTAGGTTTTAATCGCAGTAATTAAATTATCTTCTAAATTATAAAGAGGGCTGGCATTGCCACGTCCTTTATCTATCAGTGTTCAATTGCACCAAGTAAGCACTTAATCCCTCCTTCCAGCGGCTGCCACCCGCTCCCCCCGACCCCCACCCCCGGCCTCCCACCCTTCCCCCCAGCATCTCTGAAGTGGGGACACGTCTCTATCGGAGGGGCTCACCGTGTAACCGGAGGCCTTTTCCTGGGGCCCGAGCAGGAGTGTGCGGTGCCCCTTACAGTGGAGGGGGCCAGATGTGGTCGTCCCCTCGGTCACGCATTTATGAGCGCCTGCTGAGCCCGGGAGCCCAGGCGACGTGGGTGCTGGCGTCTCACCCTGGGAGACCTCGCAAATCAGTTCTCGGGTCCTCAGGCCCCAGGCCCCGAACTTCACCCCACCTTGGCCCTGCCCTCCAGGCTGGATTCACACACACCGTCCTCCGTCTCCTCCTCGCCGTCTCCTCCTCGGTGTCGCCTTAGCCTCAAGTCCTATCTCGATTTGTTTCCCACCTCCACACACACCTTTATCCCAGAAGGTGTTCTCTAGATTCTTCCCCAGGACGACCGCATCACCGTGAAGGTGGGGATGGCACCAGGGACAGGGAGGCTGCCGGGCTGCACATGACCACAGCTTGGACCCTCCCCATCGGGTAGTATATCTCCTGAGGGCATGGCGGGCTCTTCATTGCGGGGCTACCCTCCCCTCCCCTCCCCTCCCCTCCTTCGAGGTCTCGGGCACAGACGTGGAACCTGGAAAATAAACCCGCAACCTGGCCATGTGTCTGACAGGAAGCGAACCAGCAGCCTTTCGGTGCACAGATGACACTCGGCCAACTGAGCCACACCGGCCAGGGCGCCAGGACCGACGTTTTAACACTTCGGGCCCCGGCTGTTTAATGTAGAAGCCGGGTGCTGGCTACACGGGATAGTTGTTTCCCCCTTCACTTTGGTCTGTGGTTGAAGTTTCAAAAAAAAAAAGAAAGAAAGAAAGAAAGAAGCCAAGTATTCAATGAATTCTCAAGATTAACAAATTGTATGTTGTGTAATAAATAATTCTCTGTATAGTCCCACTCCAACTCAGTTGATAAATCAAAATTTATGGCTATAACAAAGTAAAATTACCCCAACGTTTAAACATTGGTTGCAGATTTATCAAAAACACTTCTAAATATTTAACAAAAACGACAAGCCTAACATATCACTTCTAAAAATGTCTGAACATCTTAGGAAAGACACACACACACAGTCTGAGAAGCGGTTCTCAAAGGGGAACACGGACACCCACTCTTTCTTAGGTGTGTTCTCAGCACCCACAGGGCTCGACCTGCCAACCAGGTCGTTGGAAACTCAGCTCTGGGCCAGGCACCTCAGGAGGGCCTGGTGCTGCCCGTGAGTGAGGCTGGCCCGTCCGGCTTCAGGTTAAGCCTCTCTTTATAACAAAACTTTCCTACAGATGGAGGAACTCTTCACTACAGCCCCGTCTTCCATATTTATTTTCAGTTCCTGACCCTTGGCTTCTCTCCCTGAGATGAGGGATTCGCTAAGTTTCCTGTAGGTGCGAAGTCCTGACCCGATGTCCTGTTATTTGGAGATAAGACCCTGGTGTGTTAGATGAGCAACCTTCCCAGTGAGCATTTTATCACAGCCAGCAGGGCTGAGTGGGGCCTGCGTGTATGTGGCCCGAGGGAGGGGGTGGCTGGACACTCCCACCTGCTAATGGCAGGAGGACCGGGTGCACGGTCGCTGCCCCGGCCCGTTCCCCAAGCTCTGGAGTCTCAGATGTCTGTGCTCACTCATTCTTGATTGAGGGGCTCCCATCGACGTACTCCCCGTGCCCCGCCCTCTCGGGGCCCCACAGTCCAGGGAGCCCCTCCAGATTGCTGACCCATGGGCTCTACGTGCACAGAGGCTAAGTTTGGGCTGGTTACTGACGCAGCAATGGATAAACTACAACAGGATGAGAGCAAACGACTAGATTACCTACCATGCCACATCTTCAAAAAGCAAGGCGGGTGAGATGGGTACAGGGGCTCAATTGTAAGGCGACAGATGGAAACTAGACTTTCGTGGTGGGCATGATGGAGTACATTCAGATGTCGATCATAATGGCGCACACCTGAAAGTTATATAATCCTATAAATCAATGTTACCTCAATAAAAAAATAAATTTAAAAAATAAATTAAACAATAAAAATGTAAGCATCTTGTCTCAGTCTGCTCAGGCTGCTCTAACAAAATACCAGGCTGGTGGCTTATGAACAACAGAAATTCACTTCTCACGGTTCTGGAGGCTGGGAGTCCCAGTTCAAGGCTGATTCCGTGTTGGGTGAGGGCCTGCTTCCTGGCTCATAGATGGCCGTCTTCTCTCCGTGTCCTCAGATGGTGGAAGGAGTAAGGAATCGCTCTGGAATCCCTGTTATAGGGGCACTAATCCATTCATGAGGGCTCCACCCTCATGACCCAAGCTTCTCCCAATGGCCCCACCTCTTACTACCATTTCCTGGGGGGGGGGGAGGGGGCAGTCAGGTTTCCTATGGATTTGGGGGAACACAAACATTCAGACCATAGCAGCCTCCAGGCACATTGGGCCTTATCACAATACCTTCCTTCCTGGTATGCTTTTTGGTAACTTCTTCTTTGAGCGTCAATGAGAATTCTTGGATTCTGAGAGTCTCGCCTGTCGGAACCGACGACGGTGACTGTCATCTTGATGCCTCATGCGTCCCAGGCCTGTGCGGGAGGCCCCTTGACCCTCAGTGCTGCTTCTGGCACCTCTGAACACATCCTGGCTTTGTGGCAGCAGCGATTCCCCACCTCTGCCCGTGCCCCGGAAGCAGCTGCCCTTTAAGGCAGGGGCCAACACGCTTTCCTGCGAAGGGCCAGGCAGTGAGTACTTCTGGCTCTGTGGGTCCGAGGTCCCACACGCCATGGAGCAAGTATGACGGCTGACATGCAGGGCGTACTTCCCTGACCTGCCCCGAGGGTCTCTGAGCCCCAGCTGGGTGCAAGCCGTGAGCGCTTACGACATTTCTTCAGTTGAGCACACCGTGTGGGCGTGCCCGCCGCCTACGGCATGTGGTGGTATCTCCCACGCAGATGCTTTTCCGCGTGGACTCCCAAGCAGGTTTTGGAACTTCCTTTGGCGGGCGTCTGTCTGGGTGGGTCAGGTGTGTGTCTGCCCCGTTCAGCTGCAGTTGCCTCGCCCTCTGCATTTGCTCAGCTCCATCCGGCCAGGTGCTTCCTTCCTCCCGGGCTCCTAATGGGCCTCCTGGACACGCTGGCGTGAGGGCTGTGCGGCTGCTCTCTGGGCTGGGGAGGCAGAGTCTAGGCCGGGCTGAGCTGGCCCCGACACATATGAAAACCAGAGCACAGGCGGAGCTGAGCAGGAGAGGGGGTGCAGGCTGCATGTGGGGCTGCAGGAGGGGAGGCGGCCTGTCTGCACCGGCGCACAGGTGCACGGCAAGCTCAGAGTCAAGGTCTCTCCCGTGCCAGCTTGTCTTTAACACCAGGCTTTCCCATGAAGTTATAGCTAGTTGAGTATCAAGCGTTTCTAAAGAACCCCCTGAAGGAATGTTTTTCTTTGTGCAAACAGTCCTTTTGTGCGGAGGGTGTTCTGTGGCTTCTTGGCAGAGACACAGGTGGGAAACACCTGATTGAACATCACTCACTCAGGAGTGTAAAGACACGCACCGCACGTCAGCACAAAGCCAGGCTGCCGAGCCAGCGCAGCGAGGGATCCCGGGCTGCTGCACCCCGCAGGCCCTTCCCGGGGTCATCCTCAGCACCCAGCTCCCCGGGTCACCCACCACCACACACAGGCTGGCCTGCATGTCTCCAGAGCACACGGCTTTCTGACATGATCCCATCTGTGAAACGCGGGAAGCGCAGGAAAAGGTGGTGAATGCTGAAGGCCTCGGGCGGTGTCCCTGGTCACAGCCTGCTCCGCCGTCAGCCTCCTGCTTGTCTGAGAAGAACCCAACCGGCTGTGGGATGCGTGAGTGCTGTGCACCTGCTGGGGAGGATGACTGTGGGACCCCCTCACAGGGCGGCCACGAGGCGGAAGAGGGTGGGCAGCAGGTTCCTCTGATGCACTCTCTCACCAGGCTGGCCACTCACCTGCCTGTGCTGGCCAGGACCTCCGGGCCTTCTCATCTCCCTACACAGCTGCCTGCCATCCAGAGGAGGTGGGCTGGACAGGTACCCGCTGCAGCCCTGGTGGTCCTGTGACCAGAAGGGCCCCTTGCCCTGACTTCGTGGTAGGACACTGGATCCCATACGGGCCATGAAAGGTCACTCCTATGGCATGAAGCGGCTGGGCAGCCTCCAGGAGCCAAGGCCTCCGTCCTACAACACAGGGCTCTGGATTCTGCCGATGACCATGAGGGCTAAAGAGGTGCCTACCCCGCTGACGCCTGACTGCAGCCTGTAAGGCCCTGAGCAGAGACCCGGCCACACTGTGCCCACACTGCAGTAAGGACAGAACAGGACAGCAGGACACGCTGACCAGAGCTGGAACCGCACAGGAGAGGCATCTATCGCTATCTCCAAATGCAAGTTTTCTCTGGTTATGAGCAGCCTCACACGACCTAAAAGGATGTTAATGAAGAATACTGGAAGGCAGGTGAACAAACTCTGCATCTCTCAGCTGATGGGTTGGTTGGACTGGAAAACGTCTTGCTGAGGGTGCAAGGGCACCCAAGGACATGCGATGAGCGATGCCTGTCCAACGTGTCCCCTCGTGCTTGTCCTGGGAAACTTGGGCCTCTGCGCAGCCGTTTTCTTCACTTGGTACCTTTGGGCAGCCTTCTTCCAGGTCCTGCCAGCTCACAGGAAGTGGCTGACCTCGGGGAAAATAGCATCGATGTCTGTGGCACAGAATCGTCACGGTTAGCCGCTGCGGACGATGTAAAATTAAAAGGACTCCCGAATGGAACAGGGCTTAAATTTAAGTCCCAAAGAAGGTTGCTCAGTTAACAGCTAACGTAGCCAGAAAAGGCACTTGGGAACCAGGGAGAAAATCATGGGGCTGGTTTTGCAAAGCCCCCGAGATGCCGCAGGCAGACGTGGCTGGGTGTGCTGGACCCAGGGAGGGTCCTGCTGGAAACGCCTGACACAAAGGCACGTGGGCGCTGCGGGGCCAGAGGGGGCTGGATGCCACTGCCCGCCGGCCCTCCGCCCCGCCCCAGCCACCCCTGGGGTCAGGCAGACGCCGCCTGTGAGCAAATGCACCGGCGCTGCCAGCCTCCAGGCGTGTGACCAGGAGTGGGCTTCCCACACGGCCTGGGGTGGAGGCCGGAGGGCCCAGAGGCGCCTCAGGTAACCCCTCCTGGGCAGACACCCTGAAGAGCCTGGGGAGATGGGGCTGGTAGCTTTCTGGCCCTCGATGGCCTCCTCGGACTGCCCACTGCTGCACCTTCCACCCTGATCCACGGGGCCCAGCCGGTGCCTCTCTATGGCTGGCGGGACTCCATGGTATGGACAGGCCTCAGTCTGCATCTCCATTCATGTGCGCAGTTTCTAGTTTTGAAAGCTGCTATGAACATTCATGTAAAGGAAAAAAAGAAGCCATCCCAGACGTAGAGGCCCAAAGTCAACACTGAAGGGACTGACTGAGAGCCCGGGGCCTCCCGCAAGGAGCCACCTGGCGCTGCGCAGGCTCCTCCTGCAGAGCACCTGCCTGTCCCACGGGAGACGCAGGGACAGCCTGTGCCCCCTCTGCAGCGCACCCTGGACGGTCAGGGAAACTGGCCAAAGCCCTTCCACTGGGGCCACACAGCTGCGGGCAGATGGCAGGGCCCCTGCACCCCTGGCCCCGGAGCTCAGCTGGCTCCCGGCACCAGGTCAGGTTTGAGGAAAGCCTCGGGCCTGGGGACTCGACCAGGATAATCTGAAGCTTTGCAGACGTGAAGCATCCTCCCGCTGCTGGGTGTCTGGAACAAGGCCCGTGCCTCATGGCGTGGGAGATTCGTGGCGACTTGCTGATGCCCCAGGTCCTGTTGATGCAGAGGCCGTGCTGCGCAAAGACGCGGGTCCCATCGGGGGTGCAGAGGAGGAACCCCGAGGACCACCCGGAGGGCCCCGCTGCTGCGGACACCCATGTTTCTAGTAAGTTGGTGTCACTGCTGTTCTAGGCAGCTCAGCTGAGTAAACAAACTTCTCAGCCATCCATTAAGCCTCGGAGGCTGAGGAACCTGCTCCCTTATCCACCCAGGCCCGGCACAGGCCCCGCTCTGCACGGCCGAGGCCACATCAGGCAGTTAGCTCGCGGGGGCCGTCACAGCCTGGCTCGGTCCCCATACCCTGAGCTTGGCCACAAGATGTCCCCGGGACACTGCTCACCAGCTGCCGGGGATGCTCTGTGCCTCTGCTTATGTCTTCAGCACGAAGGCAAGGGCCAGGTACGGACATGGGGTCTGCGTCACCAACACCCACTCTTCACCACCTCTGGGCGTGGGGTGCTGGCAGTCGACACGCACCGCTCCCCCAGCACTGTCTGTGGAAGCACCGCACGCGGACCTGCAGTCCGTCCCTTGTCCGTGACACACCCCCATGGTACCTCTGTGATCCTGACAAAGGACAGCGTCGAGATTCTTGAGGAGCTGGCGACATGGACTTCAACCGGGGCCGGGGCACAGTCCCTCCGCCGGGACCAGTTTCACAGCCTCCGGAGTGCCCAGCCCAGTGCCCGGCGCCTTGGAGTCCAAGCTGAGGCGGGACGGCCACAGGGGTGCCCAGCACAGCAGTGGGTTCGAGCAGGGCTGTGGAGGGACGCAGGATACTGACGAGGTGCCCCTCCCTTGTGGCGGTATCTCCCCAGCACCCTAGGAGGGATGTTGCCGCTTGCCCTTTGCCTGTGTTCACGGCTTTGCTTCCGCGAGGCCAGGGGGGTTTGGAGCCCCGACTGACAGTTCTGTGCTATTTGGCAGTAGCCCATGGCGGCCAGCGCCTCTGGAAATGGCGTGGAAGCTTTGCTGGAGGTCAGGGAGGTGTACGAGACTCGCGAGCCCGGCCGTGGGCAGGACCAGCAGAGGTTCATGCTGAAATGAACCCACAACCTGGCTCCCTGCTGCCTTCGGCCGTGTGGCCGGCGGTGCCTCCAGAGATGAGACAAATTGACAGAAGTTCCGAGGTGGCTCACAGACTCCGGCTGCTGCCCCAGCGCGTGGCCTCCTGCGGGAGCCGTGGCCAGGCTGCGGCTTGGTGAGGTCACCCTCGATCTCTGACCTGGCAGCTCCCTGGAGGAGCCCCGAGAGCACAGCTCACCCAGCAGCTTCCCTCACGTCTCATGAGGCTCACGTTGCAGCCCAAACAGCTACTCCTCACTGACATTCCTGCTGTGGAAATCCCTCTGGAAGTGTCCCCAACATCCCAGTAGCCTGGCTACAGGACACTCGGGCCTATGTGGTCCCTCCCTAAGGTGCCAGAGGTCTCCCAACAGGGCCAGCGTGGGAGGCCAGTCCCTGCACTGGGAGATCCATAGCTCAGGACCAGGGCTGCCTCCCCGGGACGGTGCTCAGCTCCTGGGCGGTGGCCAGAGGCCCTGGGGGAGGCTGGGCGGAGATGGCAGTACCTACTGTCGGCAGTGCAGGGGGGTCTTTCCTCAAGGGGCCTGGGTCTGTGATCGAGGGGCCCGGCCTCTGTTTTGGTAGCCCAGGTCCGATGTCGTTTCCTAGAAACAACCCTTCTGCTCACATGGACCAAGTCGGACTTTAGCAGGCTGACCCTCCATTCACTTCCAGGGACCACGATCACCAGCCCGTGCCTGTGCCCCTGTGCGTCAGATTGCTGACTGGGGCTGCGCCCCCACCAGGCACCATGACAGCCAGGCCCACCCTGCCTTTAGCACCTGAGTGTCACCAACAGCCCTGCCACCCCAGGAAACCCCTGCATTTAGAGATCCCTGCTCTGTGGCAGCAGCTCCCACTGTAGTTTCTGACCCGTGGAGAAGGGCATGCAGTTCTTCAAGGGGGCCAGGCCCTCACTGATGTGGTCCCCACGGTCGCGGGACAGGCGCGCCCTCTGGACCCTCCAGCAGTGGGTGAGTTGGCAAGTCGCCTAAACACCCTCATCTCCCTAAGCCCTCAGATCCCCCCTCTGCGTCCCCCAGGGCGGTCTGGCCTTTCAGTCCTACTTATGTGCCTGCCTGTGGTCCATGTTTCAAATGACCCACGAGACCTCAGGCCTTTCTGATTCCCGGCGCTGCGGCATCGAGCGCAGATCCTGTCAGTGGACCTGTTCAGTGGACTCGCCTGATGCATCTCATATTCCTGCCACCTGGGCCCCACACATGTGCTCCAGATCTCCGCCTGCAGAGCTGGGAGGACCGCGCAGCTCTCTGGAGCAGAGCCACCTCCTCACGGGTCACACTTGGCTCCTCACCCTTGGGGCCTGCGTCTGGTTATAAGCAAAGTGGGGCAGGGCTGAGGATGCTGAGTGTCCCACAAGGCCCCTGCCTATGGGAGGCCAATCTAGGTGTTTCAGGTAAAGGAGGGCTGACCTCCTCAGGGAGGGCCCAGAGGGGGCTCTTCTGGCAAAGAAGCCGGCAGAACAAAGGGGTCTGAGACCGCCGGCTTCCCCGGGATCTGCCGTAGCTCCTACCCCCTTTGAAGGATCCTACTTCTTCCTTATCATTGATTCAGCTTTAAGAGAAGACTCCCTGACGTGGGGCCCGGCCACATATGTGAGGAGGCTCTGGGTGCAATGCCTGATGGGGCTGCTAACTCCCAGCTGCCCTGGGTGTGTGGTGCAGGCTGTGACTGTGCCTGGGCTGCCGGGGGCCTGGCCTGTTACATATGCTCCTGTGCTTCCCGCCCCAAAACCGCCCCGGACATGGCCGGAGCCACCCTTCGTCTCACTCTCTTTGGGCGGCCCTTCCTCCCACTAATCCTGCGTTGGCCTGCCCCAGTGGGCTCTCTCTGCCCAGTTGCCTTCGCCGCCCGCTCAGCGCCCTCTTTCTGCCTGGCCTCCTTAGTCACTTCCTTCTACTGCCCTGGCCTCGGACTGTGCGTCAGAGCTCCCGGCTGTCCTTGGGGTGAGGCGCCCCGTGGAGTCGGCAGGTCCTGGGGACCACACTCAGTGTCCCCTGCTGGATACAGGCTGACCAGCCAGCCAGGTGGAGGGTCTTCGCTATGACCCTGAGGGGGAAGGGGGGTTGCCTTGGAGAATTCGTACCTCGAGCCTGCAGGTTTGCAACTTTAAGTTTACTGTAAAGCACCCCCAGGGCCTCTTACCCAGGTGACGCGTGCCCAGGTGTCGGCCCAGTTACCCTGTAAACTGCGGAGTCACGGCTGCACAGATGCCCTATTTCACAGGAGGAAACAAGCCGCGTGCAAAAAGCGAGGACTCCACGGACCAAGCTCTTCTCGAGACCGGAGGAGGCGAAGCGGTGACCTGCTGTCCACAGGGGCCCTGAGCATGGCTTCCACGTGCCTGGGTCAGGCCTAAGTGTGGGCGCCACCTCTCTGTCCTCCGTGTGCCCAGAACAGGGAGCGGGCAAGTCACGAGCGTGGGTAGAGCGACCAGATGCTGATGCGATGGTCCCTGGACCCCGCGGCCAGCAGGCCATCTGCGGCGAAGGCCACGCAGTGGACCACAGCGCTGTGGAAGGCCAGCACGGCCAGTGGCTTCAGCGTCCGCCAGTGAAACACGCGAACCCGATGGTCCCAGCCCGCAGTGGCCAGGATCTTTCGGTCAGGCCGGATCTTGACGTCAGAGATCCCAGGATTGGTGAGTTCATGCTTCCCTCGCACCTACAGGATCGAGAGAGGCAGAGAGTCATTAGGGGGCTTCTGGGACCCGTCACAGAGGCTCCCATCTCTAACATCCCGCCCACCCCGGAAATGTGGGCTGCTACGCAAACTCACCCCTTCCTCCTGGGAGCGGCCGGCCGAGGGAAGCGGCCCGACGAGGGAAGCGGCCCGACCCCTGCCCTTAGCCAACCCTGGGGTTATGATGGAGGACTTCAGACCTTCCCTCAGAGAGTCCTGATGCACAAGCCCCTGCACGAGGTCTGCTGGGAATTGGGGGCTCTGATCCCCCCCATCAGGCCCTTAGGAAAAAGGCCCTTAGGAAAAAGCTCAGTGGGCGGGATCGTGGCGTCCAGGTGTGCGGCAACATTTCCAGCTCGACGGCAACACGAAGCCGGCATTCCTCCCTCCGGAGAAACCTCACACCCGCCCAGAGCACCCGGAGTACAGCCAACGCAAAGCCCATCTTCAGCAAAACTGAGATGAAGTGAGACCTCAAAAGGCGAGAGGGGTTGAAGGCCGCCAAGAGTGGGAACGAGCAGCATGTGGGCGAGACGAGCGGAGGACATGACCACAGGCTGCCGGGCACGGCTAAGGCCGCGGGAAAGCCTTCGTCCCCAGCCTGGGTCCCAGGAGAAAGCGATGCTGGCACAAAACAAGGAGCTGCACAGGCACATCCATTGGTGTGGAGCAACCATCAGGGCTGGCATCTCTGGCGCTGACACCCCCATACTCCTCAGTGCCAGGTGATGACCCCTCAGTGCCAGGTGCCTCCTGCTACCAGAGCTGCCTGTGGTCACGCGGCTCTCGGTTACACAGGACTGTGCCTTGCTCCGCAGGGCACCTGGCACCTCTGTCCCCCCAACACTAAATGACAGAGGCACTTGGCTGTCATTGTGACAACCCCAACTGGCCACCTCCTTCCACCGCTCCTGTGTTTGGCCTAGCTCTGTGCATCACGAGATCACGCTGCCCAGAACTCACCTGGCCACCCCTCACCAGCACCCCCTGTTCTCCTGAGTCACCTCCCAATGGGGCCACAGTGCCCTAGATGAGAATCACTCATTTCTACAAAGATAACACAAGGGAAATGAAGGAAAGAAATGGCAACATTTCTTGGAAGCCAATGGCAAATGTCAGCAAACATTTCAGCCTTAAATTCACAAACAAAACTTCATGAAGCAATTACCTCTATAAAACAACAACCCAAAGCAGCACAAGAGAGGAGGAACACACAGGCAGAGCACAGGACGAGGGGGAAGGAAAACGCAGAGACACGAGGGGGAATCAGAAACAGCAGACGGAGACTCGGAGCCTCGTAACAAGACAGTGAAGGCGGGAATGGTACAAAGTGAGCAAAATGAAAGGGAACAAAGAGAACAGTCAGTGTTAAGATATGTCCGGTCAAATCATTGGACATAATAGCTAAAAAGTCCCTTTGGTAGTCAGGCAAACAGAGCAAGTCGGTTTATGAGGGTAAGGTTGAGGCTGTCCTCAGAATGCTCCAGGCCACATCCGTGCCAGCAGACGGCAGAGTGATGCCTGCAGAGGCTGTGGAGGAGGCAGGGCCCCAAGAATTTTATATCCAGCCAAACTGCCGCTCAAGTATAAAAACAATAGACAAGCATTTTTGAACATGTAAGAACTCAAAGTTATAGGCTCCCATAAGCTCTTCCTGAAGGACTAGGAGATTAACCCGTCTCCTAAGAGAACTGGAGAACTGCAGCAAATGGCCTGGCAGAGAACACGGCATCGACTTACCTGTAGGATTAGGTCTAAAACAATATGGGGATTATGGCTATAGAACCGGTTATGTAACTAACAGAAACATGGGAGGGTAGCAAGAGCAATGGGATGCGAAGTTACCGATTTGCCCATCTTTTGTCATTTGGGGAAAAGATACAAAGTAAACCTCCTATTTGAGAGATTATCGACACTCTGTCAATAATGACGAAACGTTTTTTCCTCTGCCCCACCACCCCAGACTTTAGGTACCTTTGTTTCCTAGCATTTTCCCTTGTATTTCTCCACCAAGGATTAAACAGCAGATTTATGATTGGAATCCAAAGTTAATCCAAATCTGTGCTACGTATGAGAGAGATGCCAACAGAATGATTGGCAAAGATATACTAGGAGACTGCAGACAAGAGAAAGAGGGGTCCAATCTTATGAAGAAAGGCTGAATTCAGAGCCAAAAGCATTGTGTCAGACTATATACCATACTTAACAATGGTAAAGGGTACAAGTCATAATAAAGAGCTATGAATATCCATCAACAAATAAACATCTTATCGTTCGTGAAGCAAGAATAATCGGAAAGTGGCTGTGATGGAGTAACTGGTACCAGGCCAGTCCTCTTGCTGTAAACAACCATCAAACTGGACAAAATATACTACACAACTATGAACAGGTACCGGACAACAGGAGGCAAGGGCAGCTGATGAGATAAATCTCCCAAATGCCCCAGCAGCTCTCTGCCCAGGGAACGTCCCAGCCACGGGTCCAGGTGGAGCCCAGCAGCTATGTGAAGTGGAAAGGCAGGAGTCAGGGTGTGGAGCAGCTGAAATCTGGGGCATGGCAGCGGCATAGAGGGGGCTGGTGGAGGGGCTGAGGGGCTGAGGCCGTGTGTGGTCCCATGACTTCTGTGGGAGGCTGCATGCTCAGGGCACCACACCAGGTTCACCAGACAGTGGCTGCTACAGGGTTAAACATTACAGATACAAGAGACCAACAGCGATCTCAGGCCCAGCCGGGACCCGAGTGCAAAGACAGCCTGACAATCTAATACTCACTGAGATGCCACATGGCCTGGCTTCAAGAATGAGGATTACACCTTCGGGCAGGGCCCACTCCAGGCTTACTGTGACGAAGCGGGAAACCAGGCCCTACGAGTTGGGAAGTTGGTCCCACCACATGAGAGGAACCTGGGAATGACCCTGGGCTTCCCACAGACCTGCCCTAACAGAGCACAAAACCAAACCCACACAAGTTCAAGGTGAACAGCCAGTGACTGAACTGCCTGCGAGAACAAAAGTGAACACTCTTCAAAGCAAAAGAATAGAATTCAGAGTCTCTATCCCATATTATTTACAATGTCCAGCAAACAAACAAAAAATTATTAGACACGCAAAGAAGCAGAAATATATGATGAGCCATAGTCAAGGGGGAAAAAAGCAGTTAATAGAAACCCAGAATGGCACAGATGTTGAACATATCAGACAGAGATTTTAAAGCAACTATTTAAATATGTTTTTAAAGAAAACATGAAAGGAAATGCACTAAATAATTACAAAAAAAAAAAACTGCCTTGGTGAGTGAACAGATAGGAACTATTACCAGAGAAATGAAAGTTTAAAAAAACAACAACCCAGAATAGCCAACACAGTATTAAAGGAGAAAATAAAGTTGGAAAACTGATGCTACCTGACTCTCAGGGCTCGGCAGCACCAGCCTCTGACCGGACGCACATTTCAGATGAGTCTGTCACTGCACCAAGTCTTCCACCTCAAGGGCAGGGTCAGGACAGAATGGAGAAGTGCCCCCTTGCTCATCAGGTTTGTTTAAAGAGAGCCTCCAGTCCTAGCTGGTTTTGCTCAGTGGACAGAGCGTCGGCCTGCTGACTGAGGGGTCCCGGGTTTGATTCTGGTCAAGGGCACATGCCTGGGTTGTGGGCTCGATCCCCAAGAGTGCAGGAGGCAGCCAATTGATGATTCTTTCTCATCATTGATGTTTCTCTCTCTCTCTCTCCCTCTCCCTTCCTTTCTGAAATCAATAAAAATGTATTTAAGAAATTAAAAATAAATAAATAAATGCAGAGCGCCTCTGCTGTCTCCGTTGTGAAAGATGGGGGTTAGGGCTGGGAATGGCACAGGGGGGTAAAATGTGCCTGGGGTAATAGGGTAGCTTATTTAGAGAGCAAATATTCACCAGGACCCAACCATGTTTTCAAATGATCATAAATTATTTTATCAGTGCATTTGCAAAGGTTTATAAAAACATCCATAATATATTTTTTTCCTTAGATTCTAGAGTTACCAGTGTGACAGCTAATGCAATAATGATTTGTTTCAAATGTCAGTGTTTAAGCTGCATAAAGCTGATTTTATTCATTTTTCTGGTTGGCTGCATTCTCGTTAATGAAATTAACACACCCATCACATTTGTCCCCAGGGGACAAGGATCTGATTGATTTTTCTATTAAAATCAGTTGCAGACAACCACATTTGGATGGCCCTAAATGGGGTTCACCCAGGAGCCAAGGGGCTCTCTGGGCTTCCGGGCGCAGTTCATTAGCACCAGGGCTGGGTGAGGCGCCAGCATTCAAGAGATTATGACATCTGAAACCTACAATGTTAAAAAATGAAATTTTTGTAATAATATATTTTTATTTCCTGTGATTTTTAAGAAATAACAACTGATTTTTTTAAAAAATTTTTTTTATTGCTTTCAGAGAGGAAGGGGGAGGAGAGAGATAGAAACATAAATGATGAGAGAGAATCATGGATCGGCCGCCTCCTGCACACCCCCTGCTGGGGATCGAGTCCTCAACCTGGGCATGTGCCCTTGACTAGAGTTGAACCCTGGACCCCTCAGTCCGCAGGCCGACGTTCTATCCACTGAGCCAAACCGGCTAGGGCACAACCGATGTTTTAACGCAAAACCAGTAACATTGTAAGGGGGGGTTTACAGTGAGTGTGAAAGTAAAATATACAACAGCACGGCAGAAAGCACGGGAGGGTGGGCACTGCAATCCTGCTCGTGCAGGGCTGACACATGACAGGCAGGGTGGCAACACCAAGCAGACAAGGGCTGCACAGTGAGGAAGCCGGAGAGGAAACGAAATGGAATACTAAAAAACAAATATTTGATTAATACACAAGAAGCGGGAAAGGAGTAAAAGCGGGTCAAAAACAGAGGTGGCAGGTGGAAAACATACCAAGATGGTAGACTGACTGCCAGACACATCACTAATGATAATAAGTGCAAACATACTAAACGCTTCA